CTCCTAATGATATCACTGTATTACTGCTACATCCTCTACAGCAGACATGTCAAACTCGCGACGTCATGTGACATCACACGATGTATCAGAACTTGTTCCCCATTGCTGGCAATGGGGTGGGCAGTTTTGTTGTGACGTGTCTGGCCTGCGGGCTGGCAGTTTGACACCCCTGCTCTACAGGTTTCTGGAATTACAAGCCACATACAAAAAGCCCTGTTCATTCCACAGTTGCATGGCACAGTGGTTGGCACAATGGTTAATGTGTAGTATTGCAGGCAAACTCTGGCCACAGCCTGGAGTTCGATCCTGATGGAGTTCTAAGTTGACTCAACCTTCTGGAGGTTGGTAAAATGAGCACCCAGATTGTTGGGGGAAATATGCAAATAATGCTTCTACATTATAAACTGCCCAGAGAGTGCAGTGTAAAGTACTGTGGGGCAGGATATGATATATGATATATGATATATGATAGGATATGATATTGCTGTTTGCCAAACAGCAACTTTAGATGTATATGACTCAAATACTGAAATGGAAGTGATGTGTGTGTGTGTACACGAACATGAATGTGTTGGGACCAGGGAGATGGCTAACCTGGTATGATTCTGATCCAGATTGCTATCCATACATGCTGGAATACCCTCAAAGCCATTTCATTTAGAATAAAAAATGACTGCATTACACAATAGTAGCAAATACGTTCTATTCATTCTGCTGTGACAATATTTCTATCATCTAAACATTGCTAAAAGAATGTTTCAGTATTTCATATCTGAAGTAATTGAATATTACCATTTTAAAAAATAAAATGTCTTACTGCACCAAAAAAATTTATGCATGATACTGGAGAAATACTGATATACCCACAAGGGGGAATGGACTGTGAAGATGGCAGAACTTGCAGAAATGGCAGAACTGACCTGCTTGATCATAGATAAAACCCTAATTACTTTTATAAAAGACTAGAAACTTTTTATGGACTTTTTGCTGAAAATGGAAAAATACGAAATGGTAATTTCTGGATTTGCTAAGTAAAAAGAGTTGAATATAAGACAGAGGGGAACTATGCAATCCAATCTTAGAGAAAAGGAGAAATAATAATTCTAACAGCTGTAAAGAAGATCAGAAGTCACTTCTTTAATTGTATTTTCTTTTTTTTACCTTTTTATTGTCTCCCACATTTTCTTTTATCTTTTCCTTAATTTTCCTTTATATATGTTTTCATGTCTGTTTTTACTCATGTAAAATTTTTAAATAAAAAATATATCTAAAATGCAAATCATGGTTAAAATCCAAGTAATATATAATAATAATAATAGTAAAGTTGGAAGGGACCTTGAAGGTCATCTAGTCCAACCCCCTGCTCAGGCAGGAAACCCTATACCATTTCGGACAAATGGCTGTCCAGTCTCTTCTTAAAAACTTCCAGTGTTGGAGCATTCACCGTTTCTGGAGGCAGGTTGTTCCACTGGTTAATTGTTCTCACTGTCAGGAAGTTTCTCCTTAGTTCTAGATTGCTTCTCTCCTTGATTAGTTTCCATCCGTTGCTTCTTGTCCTGCCTTCAGGCGCTTTGGAGCATAGCTTGACTCCCTCTTCTTTATGGCAACCCCTGAGATATTGGAACACTGCTATCATGTCCCCCCTCGTCCTTCTCTTCATTAAACTAGACATACCCAATTCCAGCAGCCGTTCCTTATATGCTTTAGCCTCCAGTCCCCTAATCATCTTTGTTGCTCTTCTCTGTACTCTTTCTAAAGTCTCAACATCTTTTTTACA